CTCACACTGCGAAATTAAATGCTACAGGAAATAATTAACCTGGCAAACAAATATTATTGCAATGTTTTAATGGGTAGCACCATGCACTCATCGTCAAACAATTGTTGTGGTCGAAATCATACAGTATCTTTTGCAAGGTACCGTATGTTTTCTCGATCTCCCGATTTCTTATGGTTATTTCCTGTTATTCTAATCTTGGAAAGCTTTTTAACTTTATTTTTCCTGTTCGTGCTCTTTTTGTTTTGTTTTGCCTTTCCAGAATACTTCTTATTTTGTACTGTTTCATTATTGTTTTGTATGGTTTATTGTTGCAGACAACCGGATTAACTGGCTTGTTCGTTGACGAATATGCACACCAAAATTTGTTGAAAGAATATGGACGGTTAATGAAAGTATTGGAGCAGATACCTTCACATTCGGCATACCGGAGACATACGGAACAGCTTATAAAAAAGAGGATGGCTTTAGTGCAGGAAGTTAGAATTTAATCATTTAAATGATTCCTATTATACGATGAGCCAAAATGCATAATGATCCGTATCAGCTGCTATAGTTTGTCATATAAATCTATTCTAGGAACCAGATATTCAGAAGCTAGAAGACAAAATTGGTATGGGACAGATTGAAGAAGTTATCCAACAGGTATTTTTCATGCACATTTTTATTTATGAGGTTAAAATGAATCTTAGCAGTTGGGACTTTACTTCGCTTCAAAACAAACAAAGAATTCTTTGTTTAGGGAAGCTTAAGGCATTGTTCAAATACTGAAAAAAAAAGGTGATAGAGGGAAGCAGATGCACTGATTTCCAGTAGTGCAGACTGTAATGCAGTAAAAAGTGAAATTACTAACTCAGCCAAATACCCTAAAATTAAAGCCCATTTACCAAATGTAAAAAAAAACAAGCCTTTTTCTGGTGAATTTTGAAATTCTAACTAAAAAATGGAATTATCTGAAGGAAATGATTAATTTATTTGCAGGCAAAGTATGAAATATTAGCAGCAAAGGAAATCTTGAAAAGTCAAGCCTGGGAACCTTTAGTAGAGAAGGCTCCCGAAGGTCAATGGAACTGGCCCATCGTATAATCCATGGAACTAATGTGATTCTAATGTTTTGCTCTTTCATTTGGAATAAAATGGAATAGGATTTTTGAAAAGAATGTAAATAAAGTATTATTCTTATCTGGACTTGCATTGTCTCTTCAGTCCTGAAATCTAGTGTATCTCAGTGAAATCTAGTGTGT